AAGTCAAACATAGACGCGATCATATTATAACCATATAACTGAGAGAAAAAATATAAATTATAGTGAAGGATAAGACAGCATAAGACCCGCATAAGGAACTGCGGTGGCGTCCACAGGGGGGGGGCTAACGGGCTGAAGCCCCCCTCATTGATTGTATTATTATTACTTAAAAAAAATATTTATTAAGTTTCAATTGTCAACTATAGTAAGCATGACGTAAATGTCATATACGTCGTACCAGAATGAATTCATTTTTGAAAAAACATTGTTTTTGCATACCAATTTTATTAATTATCTGTAAATTTTAGATACAAGTATAAACTAGGTACTTGTAGGTATAATTAAAGACCTTGTATTAAATTGTCTAGCCTTAGCTATACACATTTAATATTTTATAAGTTTTGAACTACAAATTAACTGTGGTTTTGACTAAATTTGAACTTAAAATCTTTATAAAAAATAACCATGATGCCTATGTATCATTAATATTTTAGCTATAATAAAAACTTACGTATTACATTTTTAAGCTTTTTGACCGGATAAATAATTTTTTATTGACATTTAAAGAAAAAAAATTTTAATTAATCATATACAATCCCAGTGGGAACGGTATAACCAAGCTGGTTACCAAATAATTTTAATACATTTTCATTTTTTTCTACAATTATTTTAAAAAGCATTGAGCATTTTCAATTTCGACCTCCTAAAAGTACCAACTAGATCCAATTTGCTTCCAAAAACATACATAGAGCATCGAAGCTTTGATCAGAGCATTTTTTCTACCAGAAAAGTTAAAAAGTTACAAACATTTTAAAATACCCCAAATAAAGTCTGGAATCATAAGACTGGACAGAATAAAAATTACTAATTTTCAACCCCCCCCCCCCCATTAAAAAATTCTGCGTACGCCACTGAGGAACTGTATACATTTTATTACTTTGTTTCTTTTCTCACTCATTCTATATCGCAGAGGCGTCCCTGAGGGGGGGATTGAGGGGGCGACCACCACGATAAGTCGATAATAATTTTCTAAATGTGGTTCTGTATGTACACTTATTATACAGACTGTTTATACAAACATGAAACATAAGGATTATATAAGCATATTATTTAGCAATATAGTCCCTCCAAGCCCCCTCCCCCCTATTTCGGCCAATGCTCGTTACTGAGTAAATCACTATAATGGATGATTCAATTTGATTTCAATGATAAACCATTACAATATTATAACCTTTATGAAAAACGATTCTGAACGAATTACTGAGAGTATATCTTAGGCATTAGCTTAAAATTAATCTAAATATTTTGAAAATATCAAACATTTGGTGACAGACACGAGACACAGCCTACCACCCTTGCTGCCTATTATTGAAATTATTAAATTAATAATTTATTCTATTACAATAATAATTTTTTTAATTGCTATTATTTATTTTTATCATAAAAGTTTACCTCTTCGTCGACAAACAGGCTTTCCTCTTCAGAATATCCATCCGTCTGCTTAACGGAACTATCGATCCATAAATTCACTTTATCCGCTACATCTTTTGGACATTTGGACTCAGAAAAATCCTCTTCATTTAAATCATTAACGACTGCTTCCTTTTGCGCAATTGCTATATCTGTGTCAGCTATATAATTATTTCCATCATTATCGTTTTCATCTTCTACATCATTATCCTCCTCTTCCTCCTCCTCCTCAGCATAGTCCTCTTCAATGGTATTTTCTTCAGTATTAATAGCTGTACTAGCAGTTTCGTTTGCTTTTTTTTGATTGTCCATCAACATGGAATTAGCAACAAGTGTGAATCGCAATCCTGAACTGACATTGAACAGACGTGGTTTCTTTTTCTTTACTTTACATTTTTCAAACACGTTCCGAAATCCTTGAAACTTCTTTTCAATATCCTCAACCGTGTTTTCTTCCAGTACATGACCATCGCCTATTTTGGCACCGACTTCGTCTGCATGCATAGAAGGAACGTACGATTCTTGTTTATTAGCTCTCTGACGTTGTTTTCGACGTCGGTCATTCGATCGGTAGAAAACGCGGAACAACGATTTTTGCTCACGATTACGGACATTGCCTGAACGTATATCGTACACACAGTTCGGTTTCGGAGGACTTATACCAAGTAACTTTGTCACATAATACTTACAAGTGGCCGCCGTTTCCATTGCAGGTATACACTATTATACAAACACATTGTCGATTACCTACTAAATTTCTTATATCATGAACACAATTAATAATATATAAAACTACTCCTATTGTCGTTAACACGAAAGCATAGTTCACACGCAAACACACATACGAAATTTAAATGTGTGGTATGTGCGGTGGATAAGGCATCGTGCGAACATTTGTGCAAACAAATGCGCGATGAGGGGACATAAATAATCGCACAATTACACCAGTTTTTAATGCATACACTTCGAAGGTTAAAAAGATATTTCAGAGGCCCTGTTTATCGCTTTCAGCCCAATATAATCGAAATATATTTGATGTAATATTATATTACATATAGCTTTTTCAGAAGTACTAATTAGGTTAAATACCTACAACAATAAGAATAAAATAAAACATTTAATTGAAATGGCTTAAAAAATTGGTACATTATAATACCATCAATTAATGATAAAAGATTATACTATAAGGTTTTATTAACCCATACTAATAAATATGTTTGTTTTAAAACTATTTGAGACTTGGTTGACATAGGTACTCTGTTCAAAATAAGATTGTACTAGGCAGCCGACTTTTGAGTAGGGCGTGGCTTCACTACACAGACTTGTTGGGGTTGCCGGTCGGGCGGTCGGCCATTAACAAAAACTGATCTCTAAAGAGAGACGTTCTTATTTTGAATTGAGTATCCATATTATATTAGTTCATAACTAAAAAACTCTGACCGCTGTTCAGTGAAGTAATTATTCATAATTCATAAGTTATTGTTATTGGTTTATCTCAGTGGCGTGGCGTGGGTATTAAAAAGATGTAAGCAGTGAAATTTTTTTTTCAAAAGTGATTAGAATATAGGTACTATACCTAAATACCTAATTATAAATTATGTATAAAAGAATGTTATCCTTTAAAAATTTTTAATATTTTTAAAAATATACTAGTTGTACAAATCAAATTCGAGAAAATAAAGAAATTGAAGTATAAATACTTCAAAAGTCTATTAGGCGAATGACAGTGACAGTGTACGTAAAAACGACTACAGTCTACAAAACGCATCGGGCTACGTACTGCCGCGGCCGTACTGGTCGCTCCTTGTTTCTCGCGTAAGCAAAATCAAATGTGCTTACAAACGCTAGTTAAATACGTGACCCCCCACTATGGCATTATAGACTATTCGAAAACAACAGTTGCGCGTAAGCAATTTCAGAATGTGTTACACTGTATATCGCATTATGATTATGCAGTTAACATAATACAGAATGGATTAAAAATAGACCTACCAATCGATGATTTTCTTAAAATAGTTGGTAATTAGTAGACAGCGTACGACACAAATAAACAATAATAAAAACCACTACCAGCTATAACTTAAATATTTTATAAATGAAATTAAAATTTTAAAAATCATTTATTATGTAACTATTATTCGTGATTGATCAAATTTATTTTTTCTTTCATTTAAAGTGTAAGCAGTGCTTACAGTGCTTACATGCACGCTACGCCCCTGGTTTATCTTGATAATAATACCTAATTAATAATTATTAATTACCAGAATGAATGAGTTTTATAAAACTTATAAAATCAAAATTTTTCTAATAAACAAATCGTATCTACTTATTTAATTAAAAATGTGATATCTTTAATAACAATGCCATAAAAATGTTATTTTATAAAATAAATAGTGAAATAATTATGGCATTAAAATATAAGTAACTGAAGTCTGAAATACAATATTATATACAAAACTAAAATGAGACAGCAACTAGAAAAAGTAAAAATGTCAAGTTTCAAAAATAAAAAAGGTTTAAATTTTTGTGGCCTATAATTATTGTATCTGCATTCTGCAATATTTACAAAGGTAAGTTAGTAATAACTAATAACTAATAAATAATAATATTAAAAGAATCTAGAATATGATTATAAGAAAAAAAATTATAATATTTTGAAAAAATTTAATCAAAAGTACCAAAAGGCTAAAATACAATATATTATATATTATTACCTATGTAATATGTAATAACACTAATATGTTAGTATTTTTGGATAAAATTTCAAATATTAATACTTAACAATTTTAATTAAATATATTATATTAAATGTATTTTCTTCTTTTTATATACATCTATGTTTAGATGTAACAAAACACAATTTCTACCAATCATTCAAAAATTAAAATTCTACCTTAAAATGATTTCTTCATATTAAGATAGAAAGATTGGATCTATAATTAAAAAATATATTCAATACTTATTTAACAGTATAAAATTATTTATTTCAGAAAAAAAAACAAATAAATGTATGGATGTTTTTTGGTTTTAATAAAAAAAATAGTATAAAATGGACGGATTTGGTTATTTTAAGGAATAACCTTAATTAATTTATAATTTAATACAGTCATACTTAAAAATAACATATCAATAAACAAAGTTATATAATAAAAGACCAAACATATTTGGACGGATATGAAAATTAAATGTTTGGTGTTTTAAGTTATAACCTGAATAACTTAATTAATGGTTTATCATTATAAAACTATTTGGTGAAAGTGCTATAAGTTTTATAAATTGTTAAACAACAATCTCTGATCACAATATTGTTCTTCTAGTTATCATAATTAAATATAAATTATATAAGTTAAAGTAAATTTATAACAAATTTACAGTATGATTGAACACAAAAATATTTCCAAAAAAAATATTATCAAAAATATTTTAAATTATTTGTAAATAATAAAACCAAAAACCTAAATCAATGTTTGATTTTTAGTACAAATAATGAACATGAATCTTTTGCATTAAATTAATGTAAATTCAAGAAGTCATTGATCAATATTACGAACAAAAAAAAATATACTTATCAACACTATAAGCAAATTGGAAGATGTAGACATGTTAGCTGAGTTACACCAATGATCAAAATAACAAAAGCACCAGGTAGTTGAATCGTAATAGTCTCTGTAAATATTTACAATAATTAAAATGTAATATTTCATGTTTATTTAAAAAATATACCGTTTAATATCCAATTCAGGTATTGAGTTATTCACATAGTGGCCTAGCTTAACATCCACAGAACTCTTTCTGCAACCCTCATACTTGTCGGCTGGAATATCAGTTCGAAAACCTTTTAATGAACTCAAACAATCACGAGTAATACGTTCTTCAGCTAAAAAAAATGTAAATAAAAGTTAATATAATTATAATAATTATTATATTAAATACTTATTAAAATAAAATGTTATAAAATATTGTTTAATAAATATTTAATGATGAAATATTAAGAGGATGCAAGCTCAATATTGGTTTTTTCTCTTAGATCCACGTTTGACCCACTTTCAACAAATAAAATACTATTTTAAGAGGACGCCACACCCGCATGTGTTGTCTCCGTCTTACAAATGTACAACATAGCAAAAACTCTTTTGCGAGGGACAACTTTTCTCACACCATATTTGTTGTAGAACTACCAAATTTTCACAGCACTTAAAGAAGAACTTTATCTGTGCAACAGCGTGCTCTTTTTTTCAATAACATATATTATACAATACAAGTTATTTGCTTCTAAACATTTAGTTTTTTAATTTGCTTATAAAAAATGATTGGATGGTGCTATTGAAAAAAAGAGCACGCTGTTGCACAGATAAAGTTCTTCTTTAAGTGCTGTGAAAATTTGGTAGTTCTACAACAAATATGGTGCGAGAAAAGTTGTCCCTCGCAAAAGAGTTTTTGCTATGTTGTACATTTGTAAGACGGAGACAACACATGCGGGTGTGGCGTCCTCTTAAACATAATGCATATCAAATATCACTACAATCAACTTGAAATAAAATAACACTTAAAATAATTTAAATATAAAAATTTCAGAATAATTATTGTGCATTTCAATAAGTGATTATTGATTTATTTGATTACCTAATGATTAATATGAAATTATTTAATACAATTTTCAAAATATATTTTAATAATACTATACATTATATTACTAACCAAACTTTTTTGATCTCTAGAAATTTATATTTTTGATGTTTACATACTCGATACCAGTTATTCATATTATAAGCTGTAAATAATATCTTATAATATCTTAGAGATTAAGGGTTGTTTTTACAATGTCCAGTTAAAGTTAACGGACACTTAATCGACAGAATTCAGCCAGTAATAAAATCTGTTACCAGCCGTTTAGCGTTAACCGGACATTTTAAGAACGGCCCTTAGTATATCATGGTTTTAGTTAGTTAATTGAATATTGTTAATATTTAAGAGAATATCAGCAATCACTATTTACTTTCTCTCTGATCCATGTGAAAGTGCCGTAAAAAAAAAAATAGTAAGATATGGCATCTGATAGGATTACACATTTTTTGTTGAAAAAATACCCTTTAAGTTACATAATATTGGCTACCTATATTGTGTTTATAAAGACAATTAATGTTCTTTGGAAATGCTGTAAGTAACGAAAAAAAATTAAAAATATTTTGATGTTAATAATTTAGGTATATTTCTACTTTACACCTTTTTATTTAAATTTTTTTTTTTTTAAACTTATGTAGGTAGTTAAGTACGCTGAAAACGATGGTGAAGTCAGAATTTGGGGCTCGGACTTAGTTTTGAAGTTATGGCCTAATGAAGTTTACTATTTCGCGAATTTTAAGCATTTCAGCATCACACTAGTTTATTACGACTATTTTGAATATATATTAATATTTTTTTTTTCGGTGAGTGAACGTACCCTGTGACCTACTTGAGGTGGTGTTGCATAGCAAGTCGGGGGATATTATCGATTTGCGCCGAGGAGTGCAGCGACAAGTGTCGATACACACATAATCACTGCAACTTTGTACTTCCATAACTTTTGAATGGTAAGTTTCCGGGAATTTTTTCAAACAGTTTTGAATTCAGCATAAGAAACCACGTATTTTGAAAAAAACTAAATTTAAAAAAAAGGGTGCCTGGTAAAGTAGATTTGTTCCAAAATCGCAAAACAGTAAACTTCATTAGGCCACAACTTGAAAACTAAGTCCGAGCCCCAAATTCTGACTTCACCATCGTTTTCAGCGTACTTAACTACATAAGTTTGAAAACAAAAAGGTGTCCCGTTAAGAAAAAAAGTTCCATAATTTATATTGAAATTATTAATAAAATAAGTCAACAATTTAATTAATTATTAATAAAATGTTGTTATGCATAAAACAAATAATTACCTCCAACTTTTTCAATGACTTTTACACATAAATCATCTTCTTCAGGACAAGAAATTGTTTTATGCCACAACCACTTAAATGGTGTGCCACAACCTGGATGTGTTGAAACACATTGATAGCATAATAATAATGATTGAGCTATAAAATAACAATAAATAGGTACATTCAGTTATATCTCCAAGGATTACTACATATACGACTATTATAATGCTATAACATAATACATAAGACATTAAGTATAAGATAGTACAACAGAAAATACCATAGGGCCACTCCCTGTAGAGTATAGTACTCACCATGTACGAATATTGTAGAAAATATAACTAATGAAAGAAAAGTTTTTGATTTTGCCATATTTATTATGAAGATAAAATACAAAGCTATATGTTTTACTGTTTAACTTTAATAAATATTTACTGTTCAAAGGTAGGTAAACAATTTTAAATTACTAAGTTAAAAATAATATTTCAATAGCAAGCAATATAAAGTAATAAAGTAATCTATTATCTCAGATAACAAAAAACAAAACGTTTAAAAGCAACAAAACCGACAAGAACAATACAGTCCGACAGTCGTTCTATGGTTCTATGGTAGTACATGGTAGTACCATGTTAGACCAAACTCCCTAAACAAAAATGACAAAAGTCGCACTGTTAAACGACCATAGGCTGCGCTGCGTGCGCTTGGGTTGCTACTTTAACCCGCATAGTAGACTGGGATTGTTCATGTTTTTTGCGTTTTTTGGAAAATAAAGGCATTATTTTGAACCATGACTCTTTTTAGATCTTATAGCTTGTACGATTGCGTATTTATACATGTGCATATTTCATAATTAATATTAGTTAATAGGTCTATTATAATTATATTATAATCTATGCCCTATGGTAACAACACAGACGATAGTCTACGCATCTATAGTAATAACCACGAATTAAAATATATTAATTAATATATATTTTAATTCGTGGTAATAACTCTATTATGTTAATAATATGGTAATTCCTTTCATTGTACCACGATGTTGGTAAATACATACCATAACCTACATCGTTGCATTGTACTACATGTTTGTACTATTGCGCGTCTGCGCAGTTAACGTTATCACTGGATTACCTTTAGCCGAGGTGTACTGGTGTCTCTATGGGATGGCCTATCCATTAAAAAAATGTATAATGAATTATGAATAATCATAATAATAGTATGAATGTTGATAGTTGATACAACTCTTCAATACTTCAATTATGTTTTCAAGTTTTGAACTGAGAAGCTATTACAAAACTATTGTGAATGCAAATGACTCGAGAAGTTTAAAAATAATTATTATTCTAAGTTCTTGAAATTTTGTTTTACAATGAACTAATGAAATTTTAAAGTAGAGTACGTGTTAGATTAATTTGTTCTATTTACCGTTTTTACAACATAAGTTAGCTCATAGGTATAGAATATACTCAACATCGGTGTGATGTAGTTTTGACTCAAGTCCTGTTGTATGAAAATGTCTGCCAACGAAAACGAATCTGTGGATATACGACTTTATGCGAATCGAAGATCTAATTTGGTAAAAATATATATATATTTTTTCATTATTTTTTTTGTTCTTCAATGTAGATTATACTTAATTTTTATATTAAACTCTTAGGATGAAGAGTATCTGTTCTTAATCGAGAACATAATATGTTTTTAGTTTTGATGAGTTTTGATAACAAAAATAAGCATAGATATATCCATAGGCGTGACTAGACTTCATCGGCAGGGGCAGCCTACCTAAAAACCAGCGCTACCTGTTTAGTGAACTGAAAAAAGCCCAATACACCCAATCGTATTTTTTTAAAACCCCCCCTCCACAATAAAATATTTACATAATTTAAAAAAGTCTAAATTATCTACCTACAATAATAATCTACAATAACTTCAGAAATATTATTCATCTACAGCCCTGGTGGTGTACACCTAGCTACAAATCAAAAATAATACATTCTTACGACGTACCGTACCATCGTCGTCTGTCTCAACTCTCAAGTCTATATAGTAGGTTTTTCTGATTTCGGAAGTCAGAAAATCAATCTTTGTAAATAAATGGTAATTATAACAAAACCCACAAAAAAATCATGTTTTTAAAAAAAATAAATGTTGTTACTCTTCTGACTTAAGACTCGGTTGACCAGTACCTTTCAAAAAATGCAAGGCACCCTAGGCTGCCACTGTAGACTCGTCTATGGGGATATATCTATGTTTTAAATTCTGAGATAATTTCAAGATATAATCTGAAAAAATTGATCCTTATTGCCTATTGGATCAAGTATTTAAGTCTTAAGTGTACCTATATAATTTAGTTAATAATTCTATACTAATATTATATTTTTGTTTATTTCTATTTCCAATTCTTACAATTATACTAAAGCTGATTAAAATTATTGAAGAATTTTTTGTGTAATCAATGTATGTAATTTAAATTTAATTGTAGATTGGTAGAAAAATATTTTGTCAAAAAGTTGTCTTAATTCTAATCAGGCCCATATATTTTTTAAATAATTATTTTTACTATGAATTACCTATTTCTATCTTATCCTACTGTATTGTCGTGTGTGAAAAAGAAATTACCCCAATAGAAATAAATATACTTCTAAGTTCTATTACTATTATCATGGAAATTACTAGCCACTATGTAATTGTTTGTTATATTTTTACTGAATTTGTGGGTTTATCTATGGCATGAAATAATTTTCTCTACAGACATCTAAAACTATAATAACGGCTTTACCTATTTGTAAAAATTTAAATTAAATTAGGTGGGAACCTATGTTATAATTTATTATTTATTATTCAAGTAGGTACATTTTAATTTCTTTATACATTTCCCAAAAATAAAGAAATTGACCCTGTTGCTATTTAGATATTTTGGTAGGTATACGTATCTAATTTAATTTATGAAATGTACTTTTCGGTCCTACTGGTGTGCAGAAGGTGGCTTATTACACTTTTAACATACAGATGGTAGAATTGGTAGAATTGATGAACAGGTGTTGCTTAACTGCTATTTCACTGGTTGCCACCAAGTATGTTTGTTCACTTGAATAGTTTATGTATCATATTATATTATTATAGTTAAGATAAAAGTGGATACAATCTATAACATTTGACCTATTCTTATATCTGATTGATATATTGATATGTTTCTAGTATAGTATTATGGTTATTAGTTATTAATGGCTGTAACATTGGGTGCAAGTGTTGCTCAGGCAACACCTTAGATATCGATGGGCGTGGGTACCTATTGATAGGACTTTTATAGGTCTGTATAACAATATTATGAGGGGTAGGTCACCAAAAATTATTTGTGCAACACCAATATTTTTATATATACTCTACTGATTGTCTTACTAAATTATGTAGTTCATATGAATAATAACGTATTAGTTATTACAGATTGATTTGGAAGAACTTAACCGTATGGAAAGACCTAGTCGAGTTTTCAGTAGCCGTCATCATTTATCAATGCCTCCAGTGTTAACAGGTTGGCGTTATTTGTAATTTAAATTTATTTAACCAATTTTAGATAAACTATAATTTGTTGTTCTATTTTAATTATTTTAGATACAAATAATATGGAACAAAATGAGCAATATCGTAGATCAAGAGATTATACTAGCTATTTCGAAAACTTAAGTAGTTCGACACGAATTGGAGGGAGTAAGTTATTTTAAAATTATTCCACCATATATTTTCAACTAGTTCATTATTTAATTAAGATAAATACAGATATTTAAACATTGAATTGTTAATTTCTACCATATATTCATTTTAATTTTTAAACTAACTTTATATAGCTAGGTAAATTTAGTTATAATAAAAATCTGTGACTATTAATTAATAGAAACCTAGAAACTAGACACAATTTTTAAGCTAAAAAATAGTCTTAATATGATATAATATTTTTCAAAAAACATACAAATATTCTCCTTGTATACTCTTAAAAATGTGAACAATGTTTTTTATACAAAAATAATCAATGAATATCTAATTATATTTTAGTTTGAAATTTTCAAAGAAATGTGAAGGTTTAAAATGTAAACAATTCTTTATCATTTTAATAGTCTCAAGCATCTCAAGTGTCAATTATACATATATATATATTATCTATCATTGCACTATTCCAAAATGCCACTCATTTACTAGTAGCTTATTATAATTATAATTATTAATTACGAAACCTAGCTAAACATAGACAACATCAAATAAAAATATATTTTAACTGTAAAAATTATTATTATTATAATTATTTGTATTTTTCAAGAAAAAGTTAAAAATTGTTTTAATATGAAAACTAATAATAAGTAGGTATACAGAAGGATATTTTTCTCACAGTTTGCAATTTATTCCAAGATATTATGCTAAAGAAACTAAATATTCTTTTTTCTTTTTTTTTTATTAAAAATAATGATATTAACAATCTGTGTTTAAAACATCACAATAAGTAAATTAGATAATTTATATACATATTTAACTTGAATAATTTGAAGAGGGAGGCCAACCAGTGATGGAACCCAACGTGCGTTTATTTTAGATTAACAAATCTCTGCAATATTTTCTTCTGAGCCTATGGATGGGGTTTATTTAGTTGACATTGATTATAAGTTTATTTATTACAGTTGTAAGTAGCGATATGAGCGGATTTATTATTAATTTAAATTCAGAAATGAAAGATGAAAGTTGTGTAGCTAAGTTAGATTCAGATTGATTTTCAGTATCATTTGGGAGAGTATGTTTAGGTGTGTTAGGATGGTGAGACTGTGAGGACAGCTTTGGAAAAGATGAGGTGTCATTTATGTTGGGAGGGTTAAGGTTGGTTTTGACACCGGAGTCCTCCCCCTTTTTTACAATAGAATTATATTTAACATCATTTCTTAAATTATATTTTTTATTTGGAGTATTTTTACCGTATTGGAAACTTTGGAGGTTTTTGTGGACTTGGCAGCCTCGGTAGTTAGCTGTGTGATTACCTCCACAAAGGGCGCAAGCTGGTGGATCGTCTTTGGATTTTGTGCAGGTGGAAGTAGAATGATTGGCAGCACATTTGACGCATCTTGGAGGGTGGGCACAGTATGATTTGGAGTGACCGTATTCCTGGCAGTTTGTACATTGTATAATGATACGTCTTTTGTACGGCTCTTCAATTTTTATTTTTGTATTTAATAAAGAGGTGATATGGAAAATTTCTTTGTTTATTTCCGCAGGTTCCAAGTCAATAAAGAAAATTGGCAGTTTATTTTTAGTGGTTTTATTTAAGACGTTGGATACATTACGGACTGTGAAAGGTCCAATTTCATTTATTGCTATGCCTATTTCCGCTAATTAAGTTGATGGGTGGATGTTTCGAATTACTACTCGGAAAGGTTTTTCATCTTGAGCTTGATATGTGTGATATTCGGCCTTACTCTCTTTTAGAAAATGGATGGTTGCTCTGGATGAGTCGGCGTTGTTGGTTATTTTTAAGTTGTTGACATTTGATTTATCAAAGAAACTGTCAGCACCGATTAATACTATTAATCGTGAACGAAATGCAGAAAAATCCAAAATTCCACTTATAAAGATGGGTGGAGGAGGTTTGACTTTTTGTTCGGCTTCGGTGTCCGTGTCGATATCAATGAGAATTTCATCGGAATTTTCTGTTTCATCATTTTCGTTGGCAAGTACGGCGTATTTATTTGAAGATGCAAAAATAGATTTATTTTTTTTTGGTTGTTTCCGTTTTTTCATTTGAGTTAGAAGAGAGATTTTGTTTAGATTTGTGCTGGACTGTTGTAAATCGGTGTCAACATTTGATGAGTTTGAGTAAAAAACATTATTTGAATCGCTCTGTATACGATTTCTTTGTGAAGCATTTAAATTGGTACCATTATTTATTTTTGAATTAGTTGTTGAATTTACACCGTTCTTAATTGGTTTTTGTGAGTTGTACATTGTATATTATCGGAACGCGATAAGGGAAAACGCGATAGGTCGGCCAAGACCGCCAGCAGTGGATGTCGGGGACTCTTGTAACGTATATTATATCCAATTATATTTACCGGTTTTTGGAAAAAATCCGATTTGATGTTGTTTTGAGTTCCTTTTTGGAGGTTTGAGTGTATTTGGTTTCGTTTTCCGCATCCGTAGACACCGGAAACGCCACGTTTGGTTGTTGATATGAGTAGAAATAAATAATAAAGTGTACAAGAAATATACACGCGTGTGCATCGAACGGCATACCATGCGAGACTGTAAATATTCTTAAATATTAAAATAAAAAAAAAAAAATCTGTAAAATGTATGTCTTACAACTTGGTCCATATTTTTTAGTCTTATATAACTGTATATAATTATATAATAATCTTTATTCATTGAATTAAATTCTAATTACAATATTAATAAAACATTGTAATATGCTTGGTCATGATAAGTAAAAACAAAAAAGTTAGGTAGCTCAACGTTGAGATTAACACAGAAAATAAAAATGGATTTTGTTTTTGTAAGCAATAAATATCTTCTTGTTTATACTTTAAAATGTATTAAAAAATTCAAAAAGCAACATTTTATTAAGTATAATTTGCATCAGTAAACAGGGCACTTATACAACTATATAAGCGCTCTTACTATATTATACAATTTTAAATAGATTAAACCATCTAACTAACAAAAAAAAAACAAGATTTCAAGATTTATCATAATAAAACATTGTAATTGTCAACTGTCTTTTAGGTACAGCAAATGGAGATGCTGCAAGAAACCGATCACCTTTTGTAAGATTTACTATTACTGATCCAGAAACTCAGCAAATAACAGCAGCGGGGCAAATTCCATTGAATAATACACCCCCTAATACTCAAACATCTAACTCTCTTACATCAAGTAAATACATTTTTTTATACTGAGTTTTTATACGTATCCATTTAAGAAACTTGTTTTAATATAATTTGTACATATTAAAAATTATAAATTATAGGTATACAAACTATAAGTATTTAGAAAAAATCATATAAATTAAATTTACTTTATTTACTTTTAAATAACTACTTAATATATTGATTGTTCAATAAAAAAAGGAACGAATAAGTAACACATGTATTGTAATTATATATACACTTTTAAAAACATTAAATTGACATGACCACAATTTATTCACATAATATAAAAAAGAAAAAAAAATGTTTTTTTTTTTAGATAATGAGGTAGCTGATGTATCAATTAATGAGGAAAGTGATGATGAACCTTTAAACCTTAATTATTGGAGAACTAATATTGATCCAAGGCCTAGCTATTATAGTTCAATGTCACATGCTATACATCAATTGAGAAACTCTAGATCAGGAAGACGATCAAGGAGATTTACAGACCATCCTTATTTTATAAGAAACAATTTAGATAATAATCCCTCTAATAACAGAACTATCCATAGGCGTGTTCGTTTTTCATCTACAAACCGAGGTTACAATGATCATGTAAGTTTAATAAATATTGTTTTATAATCTTATCTGCTTTAAACTGTTAATATAATTACTATATATCATTCAAATGCACATGTACCTATCTAAATTGAATTTTAAACCAGAAACTGGAACCGAAAAAGACCGAAACCTTTTAAAAATCTTTTGACCGGAACACAAAATAATTTTTTTTAGAAATAAAACCAAAACCTATATTTGATGTAGACTGTAGAGGTTTTTTGGTTCCAAATTTCAATAAACTATCTATTTATATTCTATAATGAATTATAGAAGTAATAAATTATATCTAATAATTATAAAATTGTAAAATAAAATATTATAAATTGTAATGACCATGAAATCGATAATAAGCCCCTACCGGTAGTAGGTTAACTATTATCGTATCAAAATAGAAGTATATATCAGATTATAGTATCCGGAATGGTGGGATGCCAATAACATTTCATAATTATTTCTGGAAATAACAATTCGAATTAGTTGAGCTTGAGGCTATATTAATAGAGTTATACTGGCTATTGTTCTATAGTACTAACTGGAAGTCAATATTCCAGAGTTAAAATTTCCAGAAATTTATCAAATATTAGGATCTTTTTATTAAATGTATTTTAGTTTAGAACTCATAACCAATTAAATATTCGTGGTTTTTTTTTTTATATATTCACAATTTGTTCTTTGAATATATATATATTTGATGTGCACAAGTGTACAAAGTATGGCATGGTGTACTTGATAGCTAACATATTAAGAAACTAAAACATACCTTATAATATGTTATATGCATATATTTTTCTTCAAATATAAATATTTATATTAATTGGAAATTCATTTTATTTTTAGCCTCCTGATAGATCACAAACTCCAGAACAAGAACTTCCTGAAGTACTAGAACATGTAATGGAGCCTGACAACCAATATGATGAAGTCTAGTTAGTTAACAACATTATTCTCTTTAATTTTTCATTATAAAATTAAAAATTGATTGATAAAATGTATTATACTAATTTATTTTTATACAATATAGTCATGGTCAAGAAAGTATCTCAAGTGCTTCATCTCATAATGATGCAGATTCTGGTGATGATAGAGGATCTTCGCATTTTTCAGCTTCTGAAAACCATAATACAAATGCAGATGAAGAAAATAGAGATGGTATTCTAGATGTATCTAATGAAACTCCGAGGACAAGAGTTGTTCCATTTATTATGTCACCAACACCTTTTAGCCCATCACCCGAATCTCCTCCAGATACTCCAGAAATACCAACGACAAGAATAAACAACAATTTAGTGGATACGTCTAGAACATTATTGATAATTAATAATGATGATAATCGTAATACTGTTTTCAGTAATCAGTAAGTAACTTGCTTATAATAATAATTCTTGGGAACAAATGAATTCCAGAAAAGGTGGAAAGTGGGTACCGTTCTTCTACAATCTTGTACAGAATACTTTTATTTTGTATTTGAAATATGCATTAGAATATACTTATTTTTTCCGCTAATATTTCTCAGTTTTGGAATAGTTAGAAAAACTTGGGTCAGTAATATTTCATTAGAAAAACTATTGTTTATAACTTATAATGTGACCAATTTTAATAGAAAAATATGTTTTGTCACAAATATAAACTATTTTATGAGTTAAAAAATTAAAAAATAATACTTATTCGAATAATTTTTAAAAAAAGTATTTAAAATAGTATTCGAACAAAAAAAAATTATTTTAACACTACAAGGCTGCTGCTGTACAGTGGTTGTCAAGTATGTCATTGGAAAGGATGTGTATTTGAATTCAATGATAAATCAGTATAAGCGTTTAAGCGTTTTTAAGCAGAAGAGGTTTGTCAGTCTAGAATAATTAAATAAATAAAGAAATTTGATAAATATTGAAAATTTCTTGTGGCTATAAATAGCTCAAAAAGAGTCAAAATATTTTGAAAATGTTATGGCAATTAGTCATATTGACATTTTGTTAAAAGACCACCTGATCTTATATTACATTTTACTTTTACGTGTCTCCATAAACACTCAATTGATTGTGTTTGAGCACCTGCATGTGGATTTATGAAGTTCTTACTACAGTTTGGTGAAAAAAAACCGTGATTTTTTAAAGTGCTGTATGGTCTTCCCTCATCTGAATCAGCTGTTGATCTTGATTCTATTTCTTGAATTATTATTGGTAATAATGTTTCTTGATCCCTCTTACTGACTATAAAAAAACATGGTTCCAAAATTCCATCTTCAAACAGTACATGCCCAACTCCAAAAGTCCTTGAACTCAGCTGTCATAATTTTTATTAGTTTCGTAGTTTTGGTTTTCTTTGTCACAATTATCTTCGGAAGTATCGTTGGCATTATTATCAGTATCTTTATTATCAACAGGGTTACAATCTCCAAGACGTAGTCTTCCTCTATTGTACTTACTTGATAGATAGATTCGTCTATTTGTGCTATTAGTCCTTTTCCACGTTTTTAAACTGCTCTGCCACAACTTGAACCAATCCGTGATTGTATGATGACCTCTACCAGTTATTTTATTTTGGTTTGCGTTACTTTAAATACATTTACCCCGCACCAAACAAGTTCAATCTCCATAAATCACCCAAACTTCTAATTTTCATATAACTCAAATAAACACTAAAATACAAGTATGCACACATTTATCAAGCACCGAACATATACTAGACGATGAAGCATATACGAATACAATCGTAACAAGTTGGTAATAGAATGGGAAAATGTGTAGATAGCATACGACACGTGTACCTCGGTTACAGAATGATATACTTATTAAAAACTTTGTTTAAAATGTTTAATCCGTAATTATAAAAAATTTATATTTTACAAATTCTTAACAATAAAATAATTTAAAAATTTTCAGGATTTTAATGAATTTTGTCAAAATTTGAACATTAATTGCTTATAAAAAAAAATTTGCCTTTGTAGGTATCTTTAATATTTATTATTTTTAAACTGCTATAATAGCATTATATTTTCAAGCATTTCGACCCGAAGAAAACAATTTTATTAACAACAATTGTAAAAAAAAAAAACTAAAATAAAATTTAAAATGTCTATAGATGGCTCAAAATAGTTTTAATATGTTTTAATTGTACATAGAAAATGATAAAATGATGAAAATTTCAAGAATCTATTGTTATTTGTATTTGAATTACAGCCATATTAGAAAATCGTTCAATGTAAATTCGTTAATTTATGGGTAAATATCCAATGTTGAAAAAATTCAATCATTAACAAATATAATGGATTTACATTCAACTTTTTTTTATTTTCCACTTGCAACAACTTATATTGAATCTTGTATAAGTTTTTCAAGTTTTTTAATCAAAAAACATTTTTTTATTATTTAAGGTTCTTTACCTTTCGGTCAGTTCTTTTTGATTAAAACGTCATAACTGATCTATAATATTTTTTTTAGATACTTTTCAACTCTTCTGATTATCTTATACTTTTTTATTTAGTTTCACCAGTAGGTATATATTGTTACTTTTATTTTTATCCCATAACTTAAAAATTTAAATGTTTTATTTTTATGGTTTATGTGTTATATTTATACAATGCTACAACATGATACTCCTACCACAATTTTCAGTAAATGATAATAACTATTAACAATTATTATAATTTTTTTTAAATTTTCTTGGTTTTATAAGTAATTTTATTTTATTACGTTTTTTTCAGTGGCTCTATATTACCACTTACCGATTACACTATTCCTGGCCCATCTCAGTTCAGACGTGTTGTACATTCTGACATACTTAATAATGATAATGGTTCAGTTAGTAGAACAATTGATGTAGACTTAAATAATACAGATAATGAGAGTGTTAATAATTCAGTTATAATTGATGAAATAGTTGATTTTATTAATGAGGATAATAGTGAAACAATCTCGAGAATTCCTCATCCTACATTAACATGTGCAATGCATAGTAATGACCAGTAAGTTTTTTATTTAAATTTTAAACCCAAAAGAGATAAAAAAAAAAATAATAATAACAAAATACTATAACATTTCTTCCCACTGTAGATAAACAGAAAATAAAGTGATGTTGTGAATGTTCAATGTTAGGACATTCCACTGTACAACATATTTTATATACTACCTATATAATAATTGAATAATTTATTATAACATTTATTTGAAAAAAATTAACTATAGTTAATTTATGAATTAAAGCATTTAATATGCATTATTTTAAATAAATTTTTTTAAAAATCTCAATAAATTTTCTTTAAAATTGTGTAGATCTAGAGCTGCGGAAGAAACAGCACCAGTACGTGTTGAAGAACATCCAGAAACATATGTGGACCTTAACGATCAGTTAACACGTTTATTTGAGTGTCCTGTATGTTTTGAACATATTATCCCCCCCATTTTTCAATGCCTACTCGGACATTTAATTTGTAACAAATGTGTACTTATGTGTGAAAATTGTCCAACATGTAGAAATCCTTTCAACTCAAAACGTAATCTATACATGGAAAAAGTGAATTACTTTATAAAATATATTAATTATAACAAAAATATTATCAATTATCAAAATGTTTTTGTTTTAAGGTTGGTTATTTGGTAAAGTTTCCTTGTAGAAATGCTTTAACTGGGTGTAAGCAGCAACTGTTTGTTGGTCAAAAACAAGTTCATGAGACAGAATGTTGTTATAGACATTACCAATGTTTTTTCACTAATTGTGCTTGGAAAGGTTATTATCCTGAATTGCACTCCCATATGATTAATAATCACAATAACTGCATTCTAACTGGATCAGAACAGGTGCATTTTATTAAACAATTGTTAGAAAAAAAGCTTTAGATTATTTTATATTTTAAATGTAAATTTTTTGAATTTTATGTTCTACTAAATTTCAATTTTATTTTATAGGCTCTTGATATTATGATGCCTAATAATAATCAAACATACAAGTGGTTTTTATTATCTCACTGTGAATATTTTGCTGTAATTGCTCATTCGTCTATACCACCTAGACGAGTAAAGATGTAAGCATTTTGTTTATTCAGTAAATAATTGAAATAGCATTTCGAAAATAATATTTGTTTCACCTCAATAATTTAAAAAATATTATAATATAGTTAAAAACTAAAAAGAAAGACTATATGAACACAACATTTTAGTACTTAAGCAGTTATTGATTGTTAATTTAATGTTAATTATTGTTTCAGCCAAGTAAATTTTATTGGACCAGCAGTAAAAGCAAAACAATTTAAATTTTCTATACAATTAACTCAGCATAAAGAACGTATTGGTGATGTGTCACAAAAGTTAGTGTATGGGAGATCAACTCTTCCATATTCAGAAATCTATGAGATGTCTAACAACAATGGTTTGAAAAAAGATATATTTTCTTTACCTGGTGAAGTGCTAGAGCCATTTATAAAAAAAAGACGCCGCCGTCTACCAATTGTTTTAAAAGTTGGTCCTGAGTCTTGCTTTTGAATCTAGCATCTACTAAAAAAAAAAAATGATTTAATTTATGTGTGTTTAGATGTATATAATGTATATATGTATTATGAGTAGCAGTTATTTTATTCTTGTATAATATATTAATGTTTCTGTATATTTAGTAAAACAATATAGTTTAAACGCCAAAATTGTATAGGAACTACGTAAAATATATTTTCATTTTAAATTTTAAAACTAAATTGTTCAATAAAAAAAAAAAAATTGTAATGAGCTCATTATTAAATATGCAATATAAATAATAGGATTGTTTTTTATGTTATATTATTTTAAAATGTCATAAATGATCAATAAATCATTTTTTTGTTCAATAAGCATATTTTTTATTAGTATTGAAATGTTTAGTAACTATACCCGTATAGGTACTATGAAGATTATATTTTTCCGTTTTCATTATTTCCTCCAAAATTGTGGTCTTTTAATGATACTACAAATGCATGTGAATCATTTCATTCAAGATTTAATAGTAGTTTTTATCATCATTCATCATCATCCAAATCTCCATTTATTCGTGAAAGTTTTGAAAGATATTCAGACCGAAACATACTTTCAAATTAGAAGCAGTCATACAACACAACACAGACAGACAAAAACTATTTCTAAATATCAATTTATACTTAATCAAAAAGATAAATATATACGAGTTAATCGTATATTTAGAGTTTATCTCCAAAGTATGCCATAAAAATATACGTAAATGATTATGACTTAGTATTGTTTTATTTTTTTTTTCAAAATTTTTATTTTATTAACACTTATTATATTTTAAATTTTTTGTTTTAAACGTAAATGATAAGGATTATTGTCTTATTAACATTTTTATTATTTTTTCAAACATATTTTGTTTTAGGATTAAATGATTATGACTATTATTTTATTAACACTTTTATTATATTTTAAAAATTTTGTTTTAAAAGTAAATGATAATGATTATTGTTTTAATAACATTTTTATTATATTTTTCAAACCATTTTTATTTTATGTGTTAATATATTGCAAGACTGATATTTTTTACAGCAATACGAGCGGTATTAGTGGTATTATTAGGAGATAACACTACATTTGTAGGAGTTTACCATTCCCCCTTAAAATAGGTGTGGTGGCTGCCACATCTAATACATAGTAGCACCTTGCTACTATAAAACAGCAATACCTACTTGTCCACCTTTTTTTTACTTTTAATTAATGTAATTACTGTACTGAAATATTTAAAATCTCCACTAGAATTATCGTTAAAATTAACGTCAACACTATATTATAATATGATGTAAAAAAACTAAGATAATAATATCACCATCAGAGAATTTGTTTCAATGTGTTAAAAAAATCATGAAATGAAAAAGCTAACGGAAAATATGCAATTTTTAAAATACTTATTGTCTAATTACCTCGTTACTTTTTCAAAAAAATAAAAACAAAATATTTTATATTTTTTAGAAAACTATGTTTTTTTATATATATTCTGGTTGATATACTGATAATATATAAAACTTCATATTATTTATACTCAGCAACAATATTTAATTTATAAATAAACAATATAATAAACTATAAAGAACTTATACAATACATTTTTTAGCTATTTTAAATAAATTAAAAAATTATTTTAACACTTGAAAATGGACTCCAGTAAGAAAGTAAATGATTCTCGAAATTTAAGTGATAATATTTCATCGTTTCAAAATACCGAAGGATATAATATATTGGTAACATTGTACATTTAAATATAAAATAAGTATTCCTTTACACATAATATATTAATATACAATACATTATGTGACCTGCACACCTAGTGTATACTGTATAGCCATAATATAGGTATCGTATACATAGGCGCACATAGGGGGGTGCTTGGGGGTACTTAGCACCCCCAGTTCCCTATGAAATTTATTTCAGTATTTCACCAATCAATAATAAATTATTGTGGTTCGGATTTTTTTTTCCATTACAAATAGACAACAGTTCACGAATTTTGCGATTAAAACAGTATTGCATAAATGCACGTTTCAGTGTTTCAGTTGTCGTCAAAATATTAAAAATAAGCAGCAATCATATTATAGAAAATCGTAATTATATCAATGAAAGGTTATAACCACTTGGTTCATTGCTATTTACATATTGTATACAAATTTAAAATAATTGCAATGCAATTTATTATAGTATTGGAATTTAGGATGGTGTGGGGGCGAAGCCCCCTTCGGTTTTGTGAAACATAAATTATTCCAGCACCCTAATCCCCAATGTGCGCCTATGATCGTATAACGTATTATATTGTTAATTTAGATAGTATCGCTGTCATGATGGGTTGCGTTAAAAATATTAATTTCCCATAAGGCCATAAATAAGGATAATTTTTAATACATTGCATTTGTGTTTTCATTGATATACCTACTTAATTAAATTATTTTACATACCTAGGTAAGTTTATTTTTATAATCATTTTTAAAACTTTTTTAATTTTCCAATAGACACATTTCATAATTTTAAACCTAAGGCATAATAAAGTTAGGTATCTTCTATAACGTATAGGTTTGAATAATTTTCTATATATTTCTAAGGTAATATAGTTTAAAAAAAACAAATGAGGAACAATAATTACCTATATTATATAGTAGGTATTGAATAATATTGTCTTCTTAATAATTGACTTTATTAATAGGTACTAAATGATACAATAATATATTATTATTATTATAATTACTTTTATGAACACCATTATTGTATGATTTATAGGATGTGCAGAACGATCAAAAACATACCGAAGATTGTTTGAAAAGTATGTACCTACCTATATTGTGCTATCGTATATTTGTATAGGTATCTAACAATTATTACTTAGAATTTAATAATAGGTATCAGAAGTCAGAAGACATTAAACTATTAGGTATATTAATAAATAATAAGTACCTACTGGCTACTGTCTACTTATTATTTTTTATTTATTTTTATTCTTTGATGAATTTTACAAAATTAAATTAAGATTAAAGGTATAATAATTATTTTTGAGTAGTAGTACCTAGGTTCCATAAAAAAAACAGACTTTTGAAAAATATCAATTTAGGTAGGTACTATATATATATATATATACTTATACTATATATATGTACTTATATACACAATTTTTGATTTTTGAGAAACTTTATGTCTAAACTACTTATTTAAAAGTATACAATTTTTAACTAATTATTTATTATTATTATTATACACAAATTAAATAAATGTTTAAGAAACAGAGGACTGTGGGGACAGTGGACTTTTACTGCATATTATAAGTAATTTGCTTCATAATATTACTTATTAATTTATTATTGTTGATTATATAGGATTTAAACGAGAATACAGTGATTTGATGAAAAAGAAAAACGAAATTCAGTCTATTAAAAGTTCAATAAAAAGTAATGATATAAAATCAATATCACCGAAGATTTGTAGCAAAAGTATTGAATCAAGTAATATTAATTTATATTCTTCGGATGAATTATCGATATCAAATCTAACTGAATTGAGTTCTAACAATACAATACAACTAGTAGAAATTGATAGTGATACAATGAGTGATTCAAACATTGATATATTGTGTAAGTATAAATAATAATAAAGATTTATAGGAAGGAGCCTATATTATACCTATAACCTAGGTACCTACATAAACACATAGACAATTACTTTGCTGCACATAAGTACAAAACAAAAACAATAACATATTATCAAGATTCAAACAAGATATTAAAAGATGTTACTAAAATAAATTGGTTGTACCTACGGCTACTATACATATATATATTATAACGACTCCTGTTAAACACAGTTACCCTCGGACTAAGATATCTTAGTCCGTGACAGTACCTAACTATTTATAAGGAAAATTCAATTATTTTATATTATATTTAAAAACAAATTATGGAAAAAGTAAATCTTAAAAACAAAATATTAATTAACATAGGTACCTTCACATGATAGGTATTAGGTACCTATTCACATCGCCCATGAAGTATAAATGTATTGTTATTGAGTATTGACTATATATTTTCGATATTTTTTAATTGCTTTCAAATTGTATGATCAAAATATTATGATCATTGTATCATATTTTAAAGATTTTCCTTGCAAACAAAAGTTGTAACATATATAAATCGAAAAATCTGAAAAAATTTCTAACGTCTTCAAATATGTATAAAAAAAGCCAAAATATTTTAAAATTAGGTATACCATATTACTATTTCTCCAAAATTTTAGTATAAATGGTGATAGTTAGAGACATTTCATGTCCATATGGTTATTATTTTTAAATTATTACAACTTCAAAACAAAATCAATTTTGTTTAAAACTGGTTTTACATAAATATTTCTATTTTCCCGTAACTTGTGTTTGGTTTTCACCAGTCATTTGGAAAATAACACTTATGAATTTTTAATTTTGACCTCCCAAAGTACCATAGATCCAATTGTCCAACCAGAAACTACCCAAAAGTGGTAGGTACAGCTCCAAAACGTGATTACAGACAATAAAACACAATATTGTAAAACTAATACTACACTCATCGCTCACTTCTAAAATCAAACTATACGGCATATTTTATTATTAAAATTAATTAATTCTCTACTTATAGCTGAAGATCAGAAACAAAAAAACAATTTATATAGTCAAACATTTTTGAAAAAAAATAATAATAATGAAATCGATCAGCACATTGATAGGCATAAACACGGAAAATGTAACAAAGAAAAACTAGGATGTCTTCATGCTGAAAGCATAACAAAAAATTTTAAGAAAAATCAAAAAAATGAAAATATTCAAAACCACGAAGAAGGTAATGAATTAAAAATGTCATTAAGAAATGTAATACCTATTTTATATTTAGCATTATAAAGGTATATGCTATCCACAAAAAAAATGATTACTTAAGTCGTATACTATCTATGCGAAAAAATGTATTCTTAACTTACCTAAACATTGCTCCATACGGCTAATGACC